TTCTTTTTTTTTTTTTTCATCAAGATTCAAGCCTTTTCGTCAACATCGATCGTCAAAGCCACTACATTAATTACACCTAGCTATTGGCACCAACATTGGGCATTGCTATAAATGGACATTGCCCGAACTGTTTGTCGACATTAAGCAGCTATTGAGCCTTGCTATTGAGTATTGACATTGTTCAAAGACATGTCTGTTTTGTGTTTGGTCATTTTATTTTATTATATAACTTATCATTCATGGCAGTTAGCCATCATGATTAAGAGCAACACATGCATTGATAACATCTTTTTTATTTCACAATTGCAAATTTATCGAAACTACTTTTATATATATATATATATATATTTTAATTTTTATTTTATAATTGAGGCGACACCATTATACTCAACAACAGTTATGATGCTTGATTTTCTCTTATAAACCATCTTAGATTTGCAGATTCTATAATAATATCATAACCGTAGACAAGGACGGAGCCAAGGGGGGACCTACGGGTGCCACGGCCCCCCCAACAATTTTAATTTTTTTTTATATACATATATATTACTATATGGCACCCCCTATTTTTAATATAAACTCATATGTATAATTAAATGAATAACCCAAATTTATTTTTTTATTCAACTTTTGGACTTCTGGTACGGCCTGCTATGTGGTATCACTTTGGAATTTTTTTTTTTTAAAAAAATGTAGCGCCTCATTTGATCATTCCAATTCTCGGCCCCCCAGTATTGAAATCCTGGCTCCGTCCCTGACCGTAGAATTACTCACAAAAATTATATCATTACAATCATCGTGATCAACCTTATTATAAAAGTTAGTCACAACCACTTTTTGTTGCGACAATGATTATCCCAATTAACATTAATAGTTTTTACCTATTGTTCTTATTTATACATTTCAAATTATGCAAATAATTTCTTCAAGGTTTATTTACGTTTTTCATTGCTTTGGAAGGAAGTATGATCAATGTGGAATTTCAATTGTTGATTTGAAGTCAAGGGTTGGTATGAAATTTGATAATAGGAAAGCAACTTTGCAATTTTTGGCTTACATATATAGTGCACATGTAAATTTTGGAGTTAGAAGAAGATACATGAACATGAGAAAAGAAAGTATGGCTATAAGTTCATATCAGTTTGTTTGTTGCAATGAGGGGATACATGCAACATACAATAGATGTTTTGGTTACTAAGCATAATAAAGTTGTAACTTCTAAAAGCAACACATATGATTGTTGATGCATTGAATTTTATTCATAATCGATTTCTCTTTCTCTACACATTTTTAGGACATTTAAGCATATATTTTTTTATATATAGAAAATTACATTATATATATATATATTCTATATATTTTTTATATTTATTTTCTATGTATGAAATAAAAATCTTAAAAAAAAAAAAGAGAGTCAATTGAGATCGAGAGGGAAAAAAGAATAAAAAGTTAGATCATCATTACATATTTTTATGAAGAGTAAAACATTTTTAGGATACCAAAATAAAAATATAAAATATTTTATTTTGTATTAAACTCAATTTTATGAAGTAAGTCTAGTTAGTCAAGTATGTGAAATTGTTATCAACTTTCTTGATATTGAGTTTGATTCTCATGAATATAAAAATTCCAAATTTTAAATTCTAATTGTAGAAAGTGTTTAAAATACTTAGAGAAGACTTTTTTTTTTTTTTTGCCTTGTAGTTTCTCTTGTGACAACTAGATCATAACTTTATCTTTTTTTTGTTTTGTTTGTATTTTCATGATTTTCAAGCTAAACTTTTGTTTTATAGTCTAAGACGAGTATCAAAGCATAATTTTCTATGGTTGAGACGTTACTGTGTTTTTTATTTATTTTTAATTTTAGGTATTTATATTTCTACTAGTCCTAACAAAAAATATTATTTTATTAAAAGGTCCTTTGCACAATTTCTAAAATTGTGTAAAAAAAGGTAAACTAACAGTACGTTTGATGACTGCATGAATTTCCATGTCTAACGAGAAGCTTTCACATTTTGTTCTTTATCATTTGAATAAAATTTTCTCCAGTCAAAAGGTGTGTCCATACATGATACATGATACATAGTAGCTCACAAGTTTGGAATTTGATTATAATAATTCTGTGGCGAAGATTGCAAGTGTTGCACAATGGTTCCAAAACAAGTTGCATATTCTTCTGATATAGGAGTAATTTAAAAGAAAATGATCGTGATGATAAAAAAGAATCTGAAATCCAAGTTGGTAATTAACGACACAATGACTCACCTGTGGCGGCAAAATGCAGAAGAGAGGTGCAGTAATGACAGCACATCGAAGGCATTACTCAATTTAAGGTGGCTATTGCAGTGTGCAGAGGACCAAAAATGTGTCATCTTTTCGAATGAACGAACGAACGAACATGCCACATACTCCTATGTGACTTCCAAAAGAAAACAACGTGTCTGTCTCGTGAATGTCGCCCCTGCACGTGAAACCCACGTGCGCTGCACACCCTACTTTACTCTTCTTCGGATAATTACTATGTTTCCTCAACTTCACAACCTTTCTTTTAATTTAACTTTAATATTTGACAACAACAATTTTGGACTCTAATATTATTCTTTTTAATAAAAAATAGGAATATTTTATATGAGTTAATCACTTATACACTGTTAATATAAAATTTTTTACACTAACAATCAATTATATTTTTTAAGTATGTCATGTCACTATAAATATATTTACTTTTAATAACATGACATAATTAAAATATATAATTAGTTATCAGTGTAAAAAAATTACTAATGTATAAATAATTAACTTATTATATATAAAAATAATTTGATATTTAATGAAAAAAGAAGAATTGTGGGTGTTTTATTGCATAGATGGAAGATGGAAAATGCAAATGCAATGCACCAGAAAAAAGATAGGAGGTCCACATGGATGGAGCCAAATCCCCAACCAGGTCAGGAAGGGTCCAAGTGGAGGTTGCTCATTCCCCATGTCTGGGCCTGTTGGGGCCCACCAAATAAAAATAGCGAGGGTCGTGCCTTGCCTCCTCAAACCCGTATCAGTCAAACGCTACCATACCGTCTGATGGGCCCCCCAATTACTCCACCTTTCAGGATTCCTATTTACGCCTTCTTTTCTTCTTTTATCAACATGGGAACGACTCCAGCTAACTTTTCACTTTTAAATTCAAACTTCACTTAACTACTTCAAATAATACACAACCCAATTTTTTGCAACTTTTTAACATCAAGAAAATCATAATTTGGCTCATATAATTAACTTTTTTTTTTTTTTTTATCACAATGGGGACTAATTTTATTTTATCTTTTTCTAAAAGTTGATATCTCTAAAATGACTATTGTTGCTCTCAACATTTTTTTTCCATATATTTGATCAAAATTCAAACCTTAAAAGTATGTTTAAATAGTCATTTATCTATCAATTCTATTGAATTTTGTTAATACTAAATCACATTCAAACATAACTTTCAAATTTATTTATTTAGTTAAATAAATGAATTTATTAAATGACCAACAAAGTGAATCTAAAGAATCCACAAATAAATTTCCTTAACTAATTCATTTAATTAAGCTACCAAACATGACTCACAAGATTTGTAAAAAATAAATAACTTGCATGTATGTTATAATGGGTCCATTTGCTTCATTATTTTCTCTCTCTTATTCTAATGCTTTTTATAAGGCTCATGATAAATTTCTTGTAAAACTTAAAAAGTATTTTCAAGTAACTTAATTTATTTGCACATTTTTCAACGATATTAGTTTTGGTGAATAATTAAAGATGCGTTCTGTCAATGATATAAATAATGTAATGAAGCATGAGTGAAAAAAAAAACTCAAGCTGTTAAAAATGAAGTAAATTTTAGGGCATGCTTGATATATCTTTTAAGAAAAACAATTGTCCCAAAAATAATCTATAAAATATCATTAAAAAAATTACATGAAGAAATATTAGTATGAACACGATTACTTAGAAAAACGGGGCTACACTATTTTGCTCTCCTTTTAAAAGGACAGGCAGACATCCAATCCCTTGCCGATTATCTCGTTGACCCATGACTAATCCCCTTCCCTAATCCTGTTTTCGATTAATTCCCACTTTTTCTTTATTTTATTTTAAGAAAATAAACCTCATGTCAATTTTATAAGCTGTTTATGTGGTCCCTACACTCAATCTAATTAGTTCAAAGTTGATGATATATCAGTGTCTAGATTACTACTAATCAATCTAGTTATCTAAATAAAATGTCAACAATAACCTCCGTACCATAATGTCATCTTTGCTTAAAACAAAGGGCACGAGGGAGATCCCAGTGACATTTAAATAAGGGGACCACATGCAAAACCAACTAAAGTGTCATCAATTTCTTAGATTCTACCTGATGACAATTGACAAAGGGACTTGAATTCTTTAAGAAAACTGCAATTAATTAAAGCACTTGTCCAATTGTCTTTAACCCTTTCTTATATTTTCAAATGATTATTATAAACCCCTTAATCCAAAACTGAAAGAAGAGAAACATAGAAAACCAGGAAAAGGACACAAGTCCTCTTCTGGCATGATTGCAGTGGCAATTTGCCAAATATTATCAGAACCCACCCCTCAATTAACCCATAGCTTCCCAACAAGGAAGGGAAGAACGTTGCTCTTTTTGTCAATTAAGAGAATTTTAAAAAGGGGATGATCAAGTCAATGACTTTATTAATCTTTTAACCCTCAATTTATTACAAAGCATAAATTCGAGTATTGTTTTTTAAGATTATCTAGATCAAAGAGTGTCATTGTCCAAACAGGTTATAATGATACGGATATGATTTTGTTGGTTGCATTATGGATGCACTCATACAAACACACACTTACCCAATTTTGCAAAGATAATATATACTAAGAACAAAACACGAAAGATGATACCTTCCTTTCTAAGTACACAGAATAGGGACACGCAAACAGACACATAGTATTCCTATCTTAATGTGGTGCCACAATATGGCAAACCTACCCATCCATTTAAGGGCAAAAACCCCAAACAAAAGAGGAGCGTGTGATCCACTCGCTTCACAGGAGGGTGAGCCTTTGGTTCTCGAAGCCTCTCAGAAACTAAACCACGACAACTCGTGACTAAACCATGGTTAGAACTTAGAAAGTAGAAAGTAGAAACCCCTGAATTTCTCTCTCTCTCTCTCTCTCTCTTCTGTCTCATTTGTGTCACTGCTAGACACTGCTTTCTTCTGCATTGCTTCTCTGCAATTCTTTCGCCGCTTTCTGCGTCCCCTTTGCTTCTGAAAATTTGGGTTTTTCTCTTTCTTTGAGCTCAGACACGTTCTCTTAGGCCTAAAAGGTTGCTTTTTGATAACTTCCCAGTGGTTGTGTGAATTGGGAATGATCACTCCCACTCAAATAGTAGTGTTGTTGCATTTGGATTAGGAAAAACCTCGTTGGTCACGACTCTCGAGGAGTTCAGGGTTTCCACAAATTTCGTATCTTTTTGGGGGTGCTCATTTGAGAAGAGCTCACTGGGTTTCAGCCTGAAATTATTGGAGTTACATGGGTTTCCCTTGATCTCAGCCGAGAATCAGTGTCACTATTGTCGATGGAACTCGAATAGGTGGTTGCGCGTGCCAACTTGAATGCTGCTGATTATGGAAAAAAAGAGAAATGAATAAAAAAAAATAAGATCGAATCTTTTAAAGTCCCTTACTATACCTTGCAAGGTTTGTGCATAACATATGCTTATATATAAACCGTTAAAGTATTTGTTTGACTGATGATGTTTTATTAATTTAATTATGTATCTTAGTTAGCCTCTCCCTGATAAGGACTTGAGATATTAAAAATAATGAGCTTTTATTTTTTGTAAATTATTGCTGTGATGTAATGTTACTGTAAGCTTGTATATTTTTTTCCCTTTTATAATCATACCATTGTATGAGCAGTGTGGCTTACGTCAGGTTTTTCTGTGTCTTTCAACTTCATTTGGATTCCAATGGTTTTCCCAGTTAACATCGTAGAGTATGTTGGAAGCAAACATCAGGGGGCTAAGTGCCTTAGTTTGATATCTTCATTTGAGGCCTTTCTGAGCTTTGGTACTTCGGTTCTGCGGATCGATTGATTCATCATCATGCCTTTGTATGAGTTATACCGGCTGGCTAGGGAGAAGCTTGGAAAAGAGACTAACAGCACACGTGCACCTGATCAATGTTCCTCGTAAGTTCATTAGCTTAACCTGTTATAAGTCTTTTTCATATGTGTTAGAATTTTGAATTGTGTTCTTTTGTCTATTTCTGTCTTGACCTTGCTTTTTTGGGTTTGAAATTGAATGTGTAGGCCTGAGAATGATTTCTTTGAGCTCATTTGGGAGAATGGTCAGATTTCGAGCCAGGGTCAGTCCAGTAGAGTTAGGAGGAGTCCATCTTGCAAGAGTTTGCCATCTCACTGTTTACCATCTCATAGTCCCAAAAGTAGGGATAGAGATGTTGGATATGGTGCCAACACAAGGATGGGAAAATTTGGGGATTTAGACTCTGGATTGGATGGAATTCAAATGTCAGTGCCGTCCCGCGAAGTGGATTTCTGTCAAGATGAAGATGTGTTACCTTGGTTAGATTATACAACGATGGATGGTTCCTTGCAACATGAATATGGTTCTGATTTCCTCCCTGCCTCAAATAGTTTTACTCAATTGGATAAAAAAAGTAATGGTAATATGGTATTCAGGGATTCTCATAAAACTTCTGAAGAACAAGGGAATGTTTTCAAGGGTTCTTCAGATGAACATGTTGAGACAGCTAGACCTAAATCTAGCACCAGTCAGTTATACTCCCCATCATTGCATCAGGGTCAAACATCATTTGTACCTTCTAGATCCAGAGCATTGGATATAACTGAAAATAATAATGCGAGTAATGCAAACCAGGATGCGTCTTATGGCGAAATTACTCATATTCTATCTTCGTCGAGTGATTTTTCTAGCTTAAAGGTGCAGAAGCAAGATCCACCTATGCCTAGCAATGGTTCCAGTTCCACCATAATGAATTTCTCCCATTTTGCAAGGCCTGCTGCTATTGTAAGAGCTAATCTTCAGAACATTGGCTTGAAGTCTGGTTTGTCTTCAGCAAGATCAGACTGTATGGAAATTAAGAATAAAGGTGCTGTTCCAACTAGCAGCAATCCTCCTGAATCAATTCTGGTTGATTCAAGTGGTGAATGTTCAAAGGAACTGACCATGGACATCCAGCAGGTTGTGGAGAAATCCAAGGCCGATTTGAACTCTTTGCAGCCAAAATCTGTTGAACAGGATGCTGTGCCTTCTAAGCAGTTGGAACCTGTTTGTAAAGAGAGTGCCACTAAGATTGATCAAACTCCCAATCAAGTTCTTGGTGACAGTGGTGCTAAAGGACAGACGGCTGCTGAAAAAAGTATGGAGCCAACAGTAGCCTCTTCCTCTGTTTGCTCTGGCAATGGTGCAGATGCAGACAGAGGTTCAGATGAGCCAAATCAAAATTTGAAGCGAAAAAGAAAAGATACGGAGGACTCTGAGTGTCATAGTGAAGTAAGTTAATGTCTAAGATTTAAACTGTGCTTAATCTTAGTTATTTTATAGTTTCCATCCATAAACCAATAAAACATTTTACTTGAAGGATGTTGAAGAAGAATCAATGGGTGTTAAAAAGGCCGTCGGTGGGCGAGGAGGTACAGGTTCCAAGAGAAGCCGTGCAGCTGAAGTGCATAATCTATCTGAAAGGGTGAGCAAGGCCATCTTCTATTTGTGTTGTATTAATTATTAATTATAAAGCAGCACATTTTCCCTTCAGTCTTGAGTTTATATTATGCCAAATTTATCTGATTATAATCTATACATACAGAGGCGAAGAGACAGGATCAATGAGAAGATGCGTGCATTACAAGAACTCATACCAAATTGCAATAAGGTTGGCTAGGCTTTTTCTGTTTTTGCTCGTTAGGCACATCTGAAAAACCTTATAAGATAATGGAATGATGGGTAATTCTTATGGTTACCAGTAAGGATTTAAATTAAACAAATAGTTGGAAGTTTGCTCTTGTGGAATGTGGAAGGTTTATCAATCATCATAAGTTGCAACCTAAGGTTAAGCATTTTGTATGCAGGGTTTAAATCCTCATCTTGAATATGAACCATGATCTTTCATCAAGTATATTAGTAATAAAAAAAGGAGAAGTTTAACATAAACTATTAAAATACTTTGTATCTATATATATTTGATTTCTCATTTATTTTGTCTTTTCTGACCTCGTATATATTAGGTGGATAAAGCTTCAATGCTGGACGAGGCAATTGAGTATCTTAAAACACTTCAGCTCCAAGTTCAAGTAATCTCTCTCCCCTTCTGGCTTTGATCATAAATAATACACCTGTAGAGTGAGATTGATTCCTATCTTCTTATGCAGATTATGTCAATGGGAGCTGGTTTATATATGCCTCCAATGATGTTACCTGCAGGAATGCAGCATATGCATGCACCACATATGGCTCCATTTTCACCTATGGGTGTTGGCATGCATATGGGTTTTGGTATGGGTTATGGAATGGGCATGCCTGACATGAATGGGGGATCTTCAAGATTCCCAATGATTCAGGTGCCACAAATGCAAGGAACTCATATCCCTGTTGCACATATGTCTGGACCCACTTCTTTACAAGGGATGGCTAGATCAAATCCTCCAGGGTTTGGGCTTCCTGGACAAGGACATCCCATGCCAATGCTGCGAGCTCCTGTATTTCCTTTTTCGGGAGGGCCTCACGTGAACAAATCAGCTCTGGGACTACATGCCTGTGGATCATCAGGAGTTGTTGAAACTGTGGATTCAGCTTCTGCTTCTTGCTTAAAAGATCAAATGCCAAATGTTGACCCACATGTTAAGCAAATCACTGGTGGATGTGATTCAACAAGTCAGATGCCTACCCAAGTATGTTACTGACAGAGAATGATGAGAGAGAGAGAGAGAGAGAGAGAGAGAGAGGAGGGGGGGGGATCCGTTTACTCCAAAAATAAGTTTATCTAGATTTATTTCGTTCAATAACTCATGTCCTACATCAAATTTTAACGATCCAACTGTTGAATTTAAAGTTTTTGATGCAAAGATCAAATTTGCAAATTTTTTAAAAATTTTAAAATCATTTGATATTTCTTTTCATTAAATTCAAATTGATGGATAATCATAAAGATATTTTATACGTTGATTTGAATCAATGAAAAGAAGTATTAAATGATTTTCAAATTTTTTAAAAACTTATGTATTAAGAACTTTAAATTCAATGGTGGGATCGTTAAAATTTGATGTAGAGCATGAGTTATTAAGCGAAATAAGTTTAGGAAGACTTACTTCTAAAATAAATATATCCCTCCTCACATATACACACACATATATATAGTGTATCTCAGCTCTCAAGATATGGTTTCAGCACAAACAATTTATGTAGTTGATTTAATTTCAAGAGTCATGCATGGAAGCATTAGCATATATGGTTTTCAGTTATAAATATAAATGCAAATATTGTTAAATCATTATGAATATTCGGCTTAAAACTAAAAGTGAAAAGCCCAATGCTCTCTATTTCTGCCCTTGTGCACTGTGTTACTAGTCATTCTAGGTCACCTAGTTATTTGATTGACATTACTTCTAGAAGAAGGTACACTAGAGGTCACTAGAGCTTATTTAGATACTAAGCTTAGAATAACTTTTGAGAGTTTCTCTATCGGAAAAAATTCTTTATTTTTTGTAAAGAAGCTTTCAAAAACTCTTCTTAGCTTGTATTCAAAATGGACTCTTAATTTCATGCCTGTTCTTAAGATTGTTGATTGTCAGTTTGTTACTGCATTGCTGCTTATATAGTAAAATTCATCTTCAAGCAAAAGGAATCCACAGCAACTTTGACTAATATAGATTATATGGTTTGATTGAACATTTTCAATTTTAGAAACTGAAAGAAACATGTAAGAGCAGAAGGCAAACGTTAAAATTGAACGTGATTATATGATCTTTTAGCATAAATGTTTGTGCATTCCGGTCCCCATGATCAATTTTTATTTCATACCAATGAATGAAAACCTTCTGTTTCCATTCTCCTAGCCATCTCTTGATGTCTGTGTTCTCCATCTTTTGTTATGCTAGTGTGAAGCAGCTGCCGGATTTGAGCAATCTGCTTTGGCACATAGTAGTGGTGGTCATGCCTCCAACCCTAATGACAAAGTAGCGGTTAATCCTGGTCCTGGCAAAGAAGATAACCTTGTGATCGGTAAATTTTCTGAATATGTATATCACTTAGAGCATGCACGTGCACAAAGTCACATTCAACCCCCACTTTTACGTGGCAAATGGAACAAACTACTTACTGTTGAGTTGTACTTGCAGGTTATGATTGATAAGACCGTGGCTATGGAAGTTTTGAAAAGTGCGAGTACAAAATCCCTTGCAAATTACACCACAGGATATTCAGAGTCATTGAGGTTAGCCTCATCACAATAACTACTGAAATCCTAATTTTCGGACTCGCTCAATCGCAGGGATTTTGGCATCTTGAGACAAGCAACTCATTTGTACATCCACTTAGCAACCTGTTCGATCAATTTGCTAGAAATTTTATATATCCTTACAAATATGTATTCAAATGTTTGATCAGATCTTTCATAGTGATTCTTTGGATTAATGAAATAATAGTTTTTATCTTCTTTGCCCTTGGCCATCTACTTTTTCACCCTCCTAGCCCTGCAAAAACTAATGAAAATGGGTACTCTAGGATCACTTAGATGCAGGTTACTGTTCTAGTGCTACTGAGTATTTCAGCACCCTCGTAAGAATTTATTTGAAAATTTATCGATGTAGATTGGTTGGTCTAAATCATATTCATTTATTGCCTACTATTATGAATCAATTATCATGGGGAAGGAGAATCTGATTATGATTGACGAAGTCTCCTTAGAAAAATGAATGCATAAGCATAAGGATGGAAACACTTTTGTAATAAACAATCGAAACTAGATCATTATGATGTCTTTTTACAAAACGTACAAACATGTACACAACGAATTGAAAATTGCTTTCCTCGTTTATCAACAACAAACAAGAACACAATGCATATTATCCAAAAGAATAAAACAGAACAAAACAATCAAATTTTACAGCATTGCCTAAAGCATGGCCTAGATCATCTTCTTCTATATACACTACACTCTGCACGCCTCTTTGCATTCAAACAAATTCAACAGAAAATTACAATGTATAAAAACCAACAAATATGCTATAATGCTATGCACCACGACAATGAAAAAAAAAAAAAGAAGCAAATACGTAAATGCTGCAAACTTGTTCACTCTGTTCCATTATTTGACTTTAATATCGCCCTTGGGCTCCGATGAAAGGTTTTTGGAGGATGGAGATTTGCCAGTGATAGCTTTCTTAGCTTTCACTAGTGACTGTTTAACCTTAGATATGATGTTATTTGATTGCTTTTGAGCTGGCTTGGCTGGTGTTTCTTTTGGAAGATCCTTGGATATTTTTGTTGCATCACTTTCCTTGGTGGCTTCAACCTTAGTTTTCTCAGGCTCCACAGCTTGTTCTTTCTCTAACTTATCCACTCCAGTGTCAACAGATTCATCTTCTTTTTCTTGAAATTTAGATGCCAGTGTTTCTCTAAGAGGTTCACTTATAGCTCTAGAGATTTCATCCACCTTTGTGTCGGTGTTCCCTTCTTTCTTGTCATCAACTACCAAGCTACCATTATCATCTCTAACGCTTTCTTCTGCTTCAATTGTAGCTGTCTTTTCTTCATTCTGTTCCTCAACCTTTTTGCTTTCAACCTCTACCTCTGTTGAGGATCCAAGGACAGCATTAGATGCTTCAGGTTCCTTCTTGTCATCATCATTTGCAGCAACATCAACAACAACCTTTTCCTCCACAGCAGCAGGAACAGAATACTCTCTTTCTTCTTTTTGGCCAGCTTTAGCTTCCTGATCAGTGGAGACTTGTTCTGGACCTTTTATAATTCCAGCCGCTTCATTTGATACTCCTTCAATTACATCAGTGACGTTCGATTCTTTCTTGTCATCCTCTTCAACAACCTTGTCTGCAACTTCAGGAGAAGGTTCCACAAGATTTGCTTGAGGTTCCTCATTTGATGTAACTTGTGCAGCATTTACAGTGAGGCTAGTTTCCTCCTCTTTATCAGTTTTTTCTTCCTTGATCGTGTCATCCGAAGTTCCTTCACTCTTGGAAGTCTCAAGCACAATTGCTTCCTTAGTCTTCACATCGTTGCTAACTTCCCCAACTTCCTGACCTACTTGTAGTTGTTCTCTCGAGTTTTCCTCCACTTCAGAAGACACAGGTTCTGGTTTCTCTATTTCTCTAGGAACTGCTTCTAACTTTGAGTTGCTAGTCTCTTTCACCACCTCCACATCCTTACTAACTTCCCCAACTTCCTCACCTACTTGTCGTTGTTCTGTTGGTTTTTCCTCCACTTCAATAGACACAGATTCTGGTTTCTCTATTTCTCCAGGAACTGCTTCTAACTCTAGGTTGCTAGTCTCTTTCACCACATCAATATCCGAGTCTTTGGGAGGTTGAGCCTCAACTATATTGCCTGGTTGCTCTGAACTTTCAGCTTCTGTTTCAGGAACAACTGTCTTAAGCTGCTCTTCTTCCTCTTGTTTTTCTGGTTCACCTTGGCTCTCATCAACTTTAGCAGCCACAGGCTCTGCTTTCTCAGTTTCAAAGTTGTCAGTTTCTTTCAATTCGTCTGCTTCAAAATCTTGTTCTCTTGCTTTTTCCTCTATGGTATCACTGCTTTCTGCTGAGTGTTCAGGAATTGCAGACGTATCTGGTTTTTCCTCTTCACTTTGTTCCAGTGCTTGCTTTTCTGGTTCTTTCTGGTTATCATCAACTTCAGTAACCACAGGTTCTGCTTCAACTGTCTCTGTAGGCCCTGCTTCATTGGTTTTCACTGGTTCTGGGTTTTCATCAACTTCGGTAACCACTGGTTCTGCTTCCACTGTTTCTGTAGGCCTCGCTTCATTCGTTTTCACTGGTTCTGGGGTTTCATGAACTTCAGTAACCACTGATTCTGCTTCCACTGTTTCTGTAAGCCCTGCTTCATTGGTTTGCACTGGTTCTTGGTTTTCCTCACCTTCAGTAACCACTGGTTCTGCTTCCACTGTTTCTGTAGGCACTGCTTCATTGTTCTTGGTTTCTTCCACTACATTTTCTGAGGGTCCTGTTGCTTTTTCCTCTATGGCATCACTTGGTTTCTCATCGGCTTCAGCTGATGGTTCAGGAACTGCAACTGTGCTTGGTTGCTCAGCCTCTTGCAATTCTTTTTCTGGTTCTTCTGTTTGTTCTTGCACTGGTGCAGCCACAGGCTCAGGTTTATCTCCCACTTGGGCACTTGTCACAGGCTCAGGTTTCTCTTCCACTTGGGCACTTGTTTCCAAAACTTGAGCCTCTTTCACCACCTCTCCTTCTGATACTGTCAGAGGATTAGCGTCATCTGTGTTGCTTGATTTGTCAATGGTTTCAGTTGATGCTTCTGGAATATCTTCTGTCTTGGATTGTACTTCTTTCTCTTCACCTGTTTCCACAGTTTCCTTTTCTAGCTGCTGTGGCGGTGTTTCCTTCACAATGGACTCTGTGGACGGTGCCTCATCTGGCTGGATATTGGCTGCATCATGAACTAGTTCAGTGTCATTGATAGTGTGTGAGTTAGGAACCAGTTCCTTCTCCTCCTTTACATTGTCTTCAACAGCAACAGATGCATCTGATAGCACAGAATCTTCAGTTTTTTCTACAGCAACATCAGGCTCAACCTTCTGATCATCTCCTTCTGTTGGGGGTGTTGGAGTTTGTCCATCCTCAACCTTGTCACGTTTCAGACTATCTTCTAATGCTGGAGAATTATCGGGTTTTTCAACCTCAACTGCAGCAAGTTCTGCCTTCACCTGATCTTCTTCCGTCTTAGATGAAGGGGTATTCTCAGGCTTGTCATGTTTGACTTCATCTTCATTGGCCAAAGAAGTTATCATTTGTGCAATGGCTTCGTCCTTTTCCTTCTTCACATATTGCTATGTAATAAAGATGATGAGGCATTAATCAAGTGTGCTCACTGAAGAGATGCTTAAGCATTAACAAACAATGAATGCAAATGCAAAAAACAAAGTTTGAAAATTTTGCAAGCATTAGTGAATCTTTGCATATCTTGTAGCTGCTGCTATTCTGTTGTTTAGTTTATTCATAATTTGCAAGTTTGGAAAAAGTATTCTCTGTAAATAACTACTTATAAAGGTTACAAATCCTAAGATATATGTACTACCTTGATTTGCTCCAAATTCATATCTACAGGACACAATTTTTTGTCATTAATGCAATGACAACAGTGGTGGTACTTGATCTTTCATCTACTTATCTCTAGGGTCTATTTAACTTGCATAACAATCTACTACAGGCAATGAAGGAAAAAGAGGGGACGCATGTTGCAAATTTTCTTTTATATCAGACAATTTGATTTGATTTATGTTTGATATTATTTAATTTTTATCTTGACCCTCTTAATTATATATATAAATAGATAGATAAATGAAGAATATGTTGGATTGACAATTTTTTATACACAATAAATTTAAATAATGTTTACATTTATTTGAAGAATACCATAAATTTAGAGTTTGAACAGTAAAACAAATTTTGAATCCAGTTTGTCCCTTAAGATTATATAAATTAACAAAGCTTTCTCATTAATCAAGATGTGCACGATTAACTTTACTATTATTAATTGTGAGATATTTTTACTAAGGAAACATTATTCACATTTTTGTCTCAAATTTTTATATCTCTCTTAACATTATTTTTCTAATGCTTGTTTTTTATAGGTTAAAATTTATTAAAAATCACAAATTTCACGAGTCACTCATGATTTAGTGATAGGATCTATTATAATCTATGATTTTTCACCAATATTAGGATAGTGTTAAAGTGAGTGTCACTGACACTTTTCACGAGAATAATTATTAATAGAATTATACATTTAATCAATGAAAACCAAAATAAGAATAGATATAATTAATTTTTAACTATTTATTTTGACAACACAATACTTATTTTCTAGATCTGTCTCTCTCTGGTAGATTAAGTATATTTTCTTGATTGAGGACAGAGGTTGATCAAATTCATTTCCTACTAACTTTTTATAATATTTGAAGCCATATGTACTCTCCAAATAAATAAATAAATAAATGAGCAATTTTTATCGAATACAAAAAGTTTTGCTTGAAAGTTAATACGAATACTTAATAATCTATTATAATTGGTGATGAAACAAAAGTTGAAAAATGAAGTCACGGAGCAGAACAAACTTTTTTTTTTTTTTTTTTTTTTTTTTTTTTTTTTTTTTTTTTTTTTTTTTTTTTTACTTTTCTCTATATTCATGAATTTTTAGATGAAAATAACTTCATCCGTATAGTATGTTTAAAAAAAACAGCAAAATTTATTCTTAGTCATCCACTGAGTAAAGATATGTAAGCTTGACTCCAAGAAAGAAGCATAAAAAAGCATATACATAAGCTGGTTTGAGCTTAGAACTGAGCACACACATACCATAGAAAGAAGTTGAAGATCATATGAGAAAAGTGAACAAACCTCGTCAGTAGTAGAAGCATGATCAGATGCAGCAGTCTCAGTAGCCATGATGTGAAACTCAAGCTGATCACCTTCCAAGTTGTGGAGGACTAACTTAACTTAAGTTGAGGAGGAGAAAGAAATAAAGAAAGCAAGTGAGAGGAATAATTTGGTTGGCAACAACTCCAGGAAAAGAAGGAAAGCCAGTTCAACTTTAGGAAGAAGAACAACTAGTTTTCCACAGAAAAAAGCAGAAGCATAGATGTTTGACAGACTGTATCACATGAGCTGGTATAGACTATAGTGGTCTCAATGATTTAGGAGGATTAGGATTAAGGTGCCACTAAAGTTTTAACATTAAAAACAAAAAAGTCTAAAATAAAAAAAATAAAAAACAAAAGTTTATCACATAGCTGTGAGCTGTGCCAAAGTGACTAGCTTTATTGGGGACCAGATCAGCGCCATGAAACTCATACATTTAACGGTTGATAATGTTTGGGCCCTCTCCTCAAACCTTGTGGTTCATAAGATTCCTCTACGTCATTAAGCTCATAATTCTAATTAAATTTAGCAGCCAAATTATGGAAAAACGTTAAATGCATACTGATATATCTAGGCAAAAACTTCCACTAATGTCAATTTATAATATTAGTATGCAACTTGCATGTTTCCTTTATATTGAACTTTCTTTTTTGTCAGTTTTGTTGAACCGGTTTCTTAACCATTCACAACTCTAAACATCATTATTAGTTGTTTGTTTTTGCAACTAATTAATGGGCCAGATTGTGAGAAATTAATTATATTATTGTACATTATTTCATACTTACATCATTTTAATGCATGCAATGTTGTATATATATGAGATTTAATATTTCAGTCTAGGATCTACACACTTGTATTCGTAAGTTGTACCATATATATAAACATTGGAGTGATATAAACATGTATAATATATAAATATCATATATTTACTAAGAACGTTTGTTTCAGTCAGTTAAACAAGATATATGAGTGTTGTAAATCACTTGGTACCAAGTCTGATTTCCACGGATAAAAAAAATCATGTATTTGATAAATAATTTGTAACATACAAATATGATGAAACATATTTACTAAATAATTGTGTTTACTTTGGTCATGATTATTATTTGGAATATAACAAGAAGTAGAAGACACTAGTTTACTTTGTTTTTAGTCTGTTCCAAGCATCAACGGTTAAGGAAAATTCACTTAAAAATGATAAAATTAGATAAGTTAACTTTTTAATTATTTGAAGGTCGTGTTTCTTCCACGTTAGGATGATATAATTTGCTTAAGTTTTCAAACATGGATTAAGACATACCACTTGGATGAAAATGATGCTGCATCATGTCACTTTATTGGTGTTCGCATGTTAGGCATAATAGAGTATACCCCCCTTTCCCCCTCCTTTGGTTCGAATTTTTCTCCCCCATTTTTCGCTATGTTAAATTATTTTGATAAACTTTATATGTGTGATGTTACGTTGCTTTCCGGAAGGCATTATGTATTAATTGTTATATTCGATAAATCCAAATTGAGCAAAATCTCCAAAAGAATTGAGGATTAAGAAGACTGAAAATTAAAAATTAAAAAAATGAAAGCATAATTAATCAGGTTGTGCTTATATTAAATACATGGAAAAATAAATTCGAGTAGAATTAGACTCGATTTTTTTTAAATAGAATCTCATGTTTAAGTTTTATAAATAAAAATAAAATTAAGATTTTAAAGAAAAATCTTATACTATAAATGATTGCTAGTCAGATCTTCTAATAAAGATTAATCATTGATAAATTAAGTTAATAGATATATTTTTCACTAGTAACATAAAAATAAAAATAAAATGCATACAAAATGTATTTTCTACTTCACATTTTGTTTTGGATTCAAAATGGTATATACTTTACGTGCTTGATCAATGTTACGAAACTGAAACCCATAAGATATATAGTTGTGCCCATTTTGTTAGTCTAATTAACATTTGATTACTTTTAGCCAACAACTAAGTTCAACCTTTCCATGATCTGTTTTTGGTTCTTTAAGCTTTAACCTAATCATCTTTTAAATCCCTAAAGGAAAATGAGTATTCTCAAATCTCAAGTATCATGAGTCATTAGTCATGACAGCTGCCACACTAGCCCTCTTTAATTTTAAAGATAGAAAGAAGTTTTGTTGAAAAATTATGACGTCTCAATTGCACAAAGATGCAAAGGATCCCACCTTCTTTATTTATTGAGCAGTTTCCCTTCACATGTCCCCCCATCTTTGGAATCTTTGTTCCACCCCATTTGTGAACTACTGAACTCCATCTCGCAGTGTAAGAGTCAAGGTGTGGTGTGGTCCTTCAATGCTTAAGCCTGTAATTTTCTTCAATTAGAAGAGAAGAAAAAAATGATTTCTAGTAATGAAGGATGCTGTTTTTTCTTTGTGTAAGTATAGCGGTCATATGGGCTTGAACAACATTCATGCTTGAAAGGTATTGATTGGTTGGAAATTTATATGTAGATGCAACTTGACCATTAATTGCCTCCAAAAGAAAAAATGACTCTTCCACCCAAAAGGAATTAAACAAATTCTTTTGATTAAAGTGGAAAAGTTTCGTGTTTGGCCTTTCCTTCGAGTATATTATGTTTTTTTGGCGTCTAGAAGTCACATTGAACTTGGGTTAAATTGATCTAAGTTTATATATATATATA